ATCCTGAAAAATATTTGGGGGTGCTTAACTTTTTTCCAGGTGTATATATTACAAACCATAGAGACTTACTTAATATTAAGAGTCCTATTGTCAAATGTACGTCATACTCTCTTAAAGTACTAATACATTGAGTAGATAATTTACTTATCATGATACTATAAATTGAATATTATTGTTAAAGCTGAATTTTCTAGACAGTTTGATATATAATTGTTAACATAGAATCTGTATAGTTTCTTTTATTTTAACCAAGGTATTCTTAACCATTCAGTTAAAATAAGATTCTGGAATATTTAGAAGATTAACTTTAACATAAGCTATCTTAACTAAAATAGTTGTTTGACAAGTTATTGAGTTGATTGAATTATTTTGGGTAGTTTAAGAGACCCAGAACCTCAGTTTCTCTGTAGAAATAAAGCTCAGTAACCCCTTTAGAATTTGTAATCTAAATGTTAAATAAGAAATGGTAATTTTCTTTTGAATACTTAAGTTAACTTCACAAAACCAAATGTAGTATATCAACAGAAACAAAAAAGATCAAAGTAGTTATTTTATAAGTAATTAATGAATGGTGTATTTTAATAGATTTTTTCACAAAGAATTTTTGGGCTCCACTGATTTTTTTTAATTATTAATATTGTTATTATTGAAAGGTTGGATTCTTTCCCAGTGAGTGTGTGGAAGTAATTGGTGAAAAAGTCCCTAGATCACTGACACTTCCTAGTTCTGCAACTAAACCTGGTAAGATTAATGTAATTATAAGAAGGCATAGTATAAGGATATTGATAGCCATATATGTGGTAGCTATGTATTGGGAGTAACTTAACCTCCCACTCCTAAACATACTGTGTTGACATACAGGGTTAAAATGTCTGCCAGGAAAACACATATGCTTTCTGTATTTATGTGTTTTATACACATTCAAATATGGCATTTCTTTCATTTCGTATTTTAAGAAATCTGTTTAGCGAAAAGAATATCACTAGGGCCATAGTTCCCAAATAGTTTTAAAACATTGTGTTCATATTGACTTATGATGCACACTACCAAATACAATTATTACAAATATTTTTATCTTTAGAAACAAGTAGTAATTGTCAGTATTGTATAGATCAGAAAAATTAGCTTAGAAGGCAGTAAAGTTAATTACATCAAGGTAGTAAGATATGCATTTTTCTGTAAGTAAAGTTAGCAATAAACAGTTTTTTCTAAAATATTTAACTTTAGGAACATAAAATTAATCTAAACTAGTGGCTAGTTTTTAAGTTTTTCATAAGTTTTAAACATCATTTTGCAATCTTTCTACAGAACTTGCAGGTCAATTAGCAAAACATTTTGTTAGGAAACTCAACATGTTTTTGGATAAAGTTTGGTTTTCAATGTTTATCAAATAGTGAGAGAAACCATTTCAAATAGGTGTTCATGGCATATAAGATTTTTAGATTTTGTTTTTTTGTGATTTATAAGTGTTGATTTCTTTCTTTTTCTTCAAGTGTTAAGAAAGCAAGGGAAGCTGATAGCCTTTTTCCGACAGTTCTTACTATCAAGACCTCCTCGAGGAAAACTCAAGCAGAGTGGGATCCTAAAAGAAAGAGTTTTTGGTTGTGATCTTGGAGAACACTTGTTGAACACTTCTAGAGAAAGTAAGGCTGGGAATAATATGGATGAAATTAAAATACAATAAACTTAGTGTTTGAATACTGCAGTAAATGATGTATCATTAACACTGTGGAATATTAGTAAAGGACCTTTTTATAGCTATAGTCTGAATGCTAACCCTAATTATTCAAGAAATTAATTTGTGAGTTTAATGGCTAAAACAATGAGCCATTTATAATTTAGCCTCCTGTTTAACAAGTCATTATTATGAGTCATGTAATGTTTTTTGTTTTGTTTTGATATATTTATTAATGTATTTGAACAAAATATAATCCTATGATAAAGCAATAATGGTTTGAATCAGAATTGTCAGTTAAATCGAGTTATTAAATACTCAGATGTGTTTTTTTTTCTTAATTGTCAAGCTTTCTTTTAACAGTATTCTTTTATTAACAATAGCATTTGGTTTCATGCTGTTTTAAGATCAGTCCATCTGATTACTTAGTTAATTGAACACAACAACAGGTAAACATGAATTTTAAGAAAAATATTCCTCATTTTTAACATTTCTAAATAGTTAATTAACTTTTTCTTTTTATCAAAAAACTATAAAAAAAATAAAACTTAACTAGTATTCATTTTTGAGGTAACTAATTTCTTCAATTTTTTATTTTTTTAAGTTCCTTTGGTTTTGAAATGCTGTACAGAGTTTATTGAAGAACATGGGATTGTAAATGGGATCTACAGGCTCTCTGGTGTGAATTCCAACATACAGAAGCTCAGGTACTTTGTTTTCTTCTTGTTATAGGAATATCTTTAATAAGTAACTAACTTTAGGTCGTATAAAATGGTATCGTAAGTACTCACTTATATTTCACATGTTTTAAGCCTTGAAGTTTTCTTGCTGATAGAATAAATCATAAGTGGTTTTTAGATTATAGTAGGTGTTTCATCGAGTATTGGAGTAATTCCATTTAATGTAAAGGAGTGTTATTTATGAAAATATCTGTACAGTAAAATAAGTAAACATTATCTTAGCAACTTTGTTGTACCTTACTAATCTGTAATCTGTTTGTCCTTTATAAAAACGAAAGAAAAACTTTCTTTATAGGATATATCATTCTGAGTCCATAATTTTATGTAATAATCAGTTCTGATGTATTATATATATTTGTGTTATAAAGTTTATAAAGACTGATTGTAAACTGTTCACTTCTGTAAATAAAAAAGAACAATTTGGAATAACTTGTTATTGTGAGGGTCATAGTATGATTAGTTCAGTAAAAATATTCAGTTTCACCCTAATAATTTAATGGGAGAAAGAGAGAGCCGTGTTTTTTTCTTAAACGTAATAAAATAATGTTTATTTTAAATGTGATAAATGTAGAAACTATATGATGCACTTTACATGCTAAAGTTAATTATTATTAGAATATATGGCTCGATGAGATGAGTCTTCTTTCATACGTATCAATAAGTTTCTATGAGAAGTATTTATTTAATTCCATAAATGCAATGAATTGTCTTAAATTTAAGTTGGTTTTTAAGACTGTTTAGATTTTTCTGCACTCCTATGCATATGCATGGATAGATTCTTGCAAATGATAAATGTAATGGAGGATCTAATACAGCAGTTCATAAACTGTGGATAGGGGTGTTATGAGGAGGATCTAATACAGCAGTTCATAAACTGTGAATGGGGGAGTTGTGTGAAGACAACTAACAGCAGTTCACAAACTGTGGATAGGGGAGTTGTGAGGAGGATCTAATA